GCTTATGTAGGTGGGTTCCGACTTACGGTGAAAATCACATTATGTCGCACTGTAGGAATGGATCTCTGATGTAACCTGAGGACCTACTGTATTTTCATCTAGTGAAAGACAATCAAATTTGAATTTCAGGGAATCAGCAGTATTTTCTAGAAAGTAGTATCTTCCCTCAAAAAAGGGAGCCAGTTACACCATGGGATACTCTTCAGACCTCCTTCTCTCTGCATAACTGTGAGTGCTGAACGAAGGGGACATGCAGTATCTTACTTCACTTTAATGTTCATTTTCCTGAGTCTATTTTTCTAGTTAAGTCTCTCTACACCCTGGTTTTTCATCATTTTCCCCGGTTCATCCTATTGTAATCCTTATATTGTTTTGCCAGTCCACACTCATTATTTACTCTAAATTTGGTAAAAGCTAAACAAAGGAAAACATCACTAACAGCATGAGACAAAAGGTGATAAGAATCTTCCTGCCTCCACAAAGCCAGGAGAGTTAAATATAAATCTTAAGTTTGAAAAGGCCTGAAACAGGGATATTATTAGCAAGACTCAAATCATAAAACACAATCCCTTAGCCTTCTCTTTCCTTCCACGTGTTTTCCTGTTGATCCAGGCTGGTTTCTCTCCTGCTTGCTGCAAGCAGAGTCCCCGTTGCTAGATTCGAGTTCTTCCCACCCACATCCCTCACCCAGATGTGATCAGGCAATCGGGCCTATGTGAGTACCTGGGCCAATCCCCACAGAGATGGGGTTTCTAGAAACAGATTTGACCACTACCTAACCCTTCTTCCTACAAACCCCTCCACTCCTTGAGGCTTGGAATAAACCGAGGTTTGTGAGGTCAGCCATGACTGTACCCTCAGGTCACCTTTGTTCTTAGCCAAGCCTGAAACTGAGAGCACTGGGGGAGCTTAGGTGCCCTCTATCTTCATGTACCATACTGCAGAACCACCTTTGCTCCATAGCCATGTGGATGCCTTCCACCCTCAGTTCTGAACAGACAGCCTAGGTCTGCCGTCCCTGCTTCAGAGTCTGAACTCTACAAGGTTACCAAGGGTATTCGATCCCCAGCCTCACTCTGGCCAGTCCCCTTCCCCAAGTGTCTGAGACCTGTCATGATGCACCTAGTTTTATGTTTGGGGTCCATGTCCCAAAACGATAGTTGCCAATCACCTGGTTCCAGAGCCATACCACTCTTTCTGGCCATACCACTCTTTCCTTGACTAGATCTCCCATGCACTAATGGTTTTGAAAATTATAATTTAATTATACTTCATTGACACAAAGGAACAATGTTGGGGGGGGGGGGGTAAACCGTAAACGGACACAGTGCTACATGTCAATTATTTACTAATTAAATCTCAGTAAAGCTGGGGAAAAACAGCCAGGGAAACATTCGGGATGAAACATTAAGTTAATAAAGCAGGTTATGAAACTGATTTTCATTGTGCTTATACAAAAACCTGCACTGGACTGACGGTTTCCCAGCATAGCAAGATCACCAAGTTCCTCTCTGTGAGGTCAGCATTTAGCTGGGTCTATTCCACCTCACTCCCACGCCCACCTCACTTCACAGTGGCCCATGTTTAGTGTCACCATGTTCCCAGCACCTCACAAGCTTCAGAATAGCAAACACACACACACACACACACACACACACACACACACACACACACACACACCTTGTGTCCACATCTCTGTGTACCCCTCTCCATGCTTTCGCTACACTTGCCTCATCTGCAAAATGGGGTGGGAGGCGGAGAGGAGCAGCACAGACACGCTGGTGACAAAAGCATGAATGGATAATCTCCGCAGTGAACGAGGGGAGCACAGAGTGGGCTGCTGTCTCCAGGCCACGCAGGGGTTCACAGCAGCATCTGTTTACCCGTCACTTACAGTCATTTCCATGGCCCACCTGGCAACACAGGCCCTGCCTGACTCGTCACTTTGTAGACACCTGAGCTGCAAAGGGAACCCTTAATGTGCTTATCATGCCGGTAACCAAGGCTACTCCGCCAGCACTGCTCTCGGAGGCCTTGTTTTAAAGGAAAGAAAAACGGAAACTCTGAAAGAAACAAACGAATAATGATAAGCATTTTCATTCTCCCTATTGGCCAAACTATATAAATGCACTCCGTTGTATAAGAACACTAGACTCTTGATCCTTCTAAAATCTGAACTATTTGAGGATAAGGCCTGAGTAAACATAGTCTGTGCCTTGCTTTATTTCGGTTCAGCTCAGCAAACTGCCAGATGGAGAGCAGAATGCTGACTTTACAGCTCCTCTTACTCTTCTCTGTCTTCTCCCCGTTTTCAATTTTGCTTTGCTGTTGGGTTCTCTTTGCTCCCAGAGTCACAGTACCACCTGTTTCTGATTTTAAGTTTGGGGTCGGAGCAACTTACCGGGTTTTGTCCTGGCATTTGCCCAATCCGCCTGCCTCTACGGCCCAGTGAGCCACCCATTTTCACTGATGCTGTAACATTCTGCCTACAAAAAAGGCTACCCTTCAATATTACGCCCTATTCCCTTGAGGACTTATTCTCCAGGCACCTTGCACACCTCCTGGTGTTTACCATGGAGACAGCACTGGGGAAAGACATGTTTACTGTGGAACTGGGAGTACACAGCCTACAGTGATGCTGAGGAGAAAACAGAAGCAGCCATGCAAAGGCCACACAGGGCTGTGGCATGCAGTGAGCATCGGATGCGTGAAAATCCATAAAGCGCAAGAAAAATCACAGATTCCTTCCCGAACATGGGTGCGAACACACAATTAGAGAAAGATAATAGCGAGGCTACAGACATCGATATCACCCGTACACAGAAGGAAAGTGTGATTAACAACTTCAGCTCTTCTACCGTGGTCTAAAGAAATGATTGGATATTCTTGAGTGGAAAATGAAAATAGGAAGACAGAGCCTAAAACTCCCCTTTCAGTTCGGAGGTGCTCAGACTCATTGTTAAGACAAGTCACAGTAAGTCTATTCTGTGATCCCCGAGTTCCAGTCCTGGTCATTCTAGCGTGGACTGGCCAGTCCTCACACCTGAAAAAAGGGGCGTGAGGCAGTGAACACTGAAGGTAAAACAAGATTCCCAGTGTGATTCCCAGTGTAGACTGTCTGTGGCAAAGACAACACTGAGGCATGCCAACCTCCAATGTCATAATACACTAAGATCTGTTCTTGAGAAAAAAATACTTTTATTTTCATGCAGGAATTGATGTGAACTGTATGTGTTTACCAAGCACACCACCACCTTCCTGCACAGAGCTCTTTTTCAGATTACCGTATTTTCCGGCGTATAAGACGACCCCCTAATTTTTACAGTTAAAACATAGGTTTAGGCCTATATTCGCTGTATAAGACTACCCCCCACTTCCGAGGCAACACCAGTTCTTTTTTTAATAGACCGCCTCTCTGACTCTGGCCAATCTGAGCAGGCTTTTTACTAGAATACAGTGTAGCTTCGGGTACAGAACATGTATAATTTGCATGCATAAAAAGCCTGCTTGGATTGGCTGAGTTAGAGAGGCGGTCTATTAAAAAAAAGAACTGGTGTTGCCTCGGAAGTGGGGGGGTAGTCTTATACAGCGAATATAGGCCTAAACCTATGTTTTAACTGTAAAATTAGGGGGTCGTCTTATACGCCGGAAAATACGGATATGTTGCTTACAGGTTATCAGAAAAAAACGCGGTTCGAAAACAACAGAACCAAAGAGGGCTACCTCCACGAGCCCGTGCCAATATCATACTCAAAGGCGAAACGTCTGCATTAATTCCACTTCGGCCTCTAACTGCAGAAATTAGAGCCACAGCAAAAGTGCTCTGCCCCTTTAAGATGCAGGAATACTGGTGAGCCCTCCCAATTTTCCTTCACTGAAACTCTCATTGACTATAACAGGGAAGCCATCGAACACTATGTCTTTCTATTACAGCCAAGTGATTTTCGCAGTAGGCAATCTGCTAGTGCACCACAGGAGCCCACACTTTGAAATACAATGGCACTGTGGGTACAGTGTGATGTGCGATCTCTTTGCAGTCCAGAGCTCTTCCTCCTGGCTGAATCGAGTGGGCAATCCATAAAGAGTGAGTGAGAAGAGAGAGGAAAAACGCATAATGAGGTTGTGTGGGGGGGCGGGGTTGGTCTTTATCAATAATACAATGGTGCTCTGCCAATTGCCGGAGTGGTGACTGCATATTACACTTTGAAAATAAATCAGAAAATATTTTTGCATTGCTAAAGTGGTAGACAAGTTTACAGCAGGGAGCAAAAACCAATCCATGGAGATGGGTCCTGGCATGCTTTCCTACATATCTGATGAATAACAGGATACAGGAGTCAGAGAAACACTTCTTCCCACCCCCCTCCCTTCAAGTGAATCTAATAGAAAATCTATTTGGTGAGGACATTCTGCATAAAGCATAATATGAGCTTAATTTTCTTTTAATGAGGCATTAATAAAATCACAGTAGCTCCTAATAATACTTTTAATTCCTTAAGGGTAGGAACCATGGCTAGCCTTCAATGAGTCTAATTTAGTGGAAGCATTTAGTTCCTCTCTTGATAGGAATAACCCCTACAATAATCCTAGCCCTATAGGATATACCTATATAGGTTGTATGTCTGAAGGTTCCAGAATGAAATGGGAATCAGGCTGGTTAATGGACCTGTTTCCTGAGTTACTAACAACAGAAGCTGCCACCCAAGGTATGAAGGAATGATGGGGAACCTCAGAAACACGATGCTATTGGGCAGCAGAGTGAGTTCCCACTGACGATTCCAAGTAGCAGAACAAGCCAACAAAGCATGATGTCAAGACACCACAGTTCTATCGTCACCTGGTCCCCAAAGAACCACAGCACTGCCAGCGAGACCTGTGCCAGGGGAAGAGCCACGGAAGGCAAGAATCCATAAAAAAAAAAAAAAGCCACACCTTTCCCTCCGCTTGGTGAGGAAGTTCTGGTAACCATTACAGATTTGAGACAGAGTAGGAATACTCACAAATTCCGGGGATCGGAAGTCAAGCTGGCTTTCCTGAGTTCCAAAGCTGGAGCCAACCATCTGACCGAAGTTTTCCAACACTAAAAAGAAACAAACACACACGAACAAATGAAGCATGACGTTGCATCGGCTCACATCCATTTTGTTTTTAAATCAGCAGCACTGGCTTACCAACTATATTTAGCATTTGTGGTACACTTATAGGTTTACATTATTTAATACTTTCAGCTATCAAAGACACTCAAAATCTTCAGCAGCTGTCTCATCTATTGGACAATGCCAGGCTTGGAGGAAATTAGGTCTGAACATGCTGTAGGCTAGACCTATCATGGAAAATCCCCTAGCTCCTACCTAGAAAGACACAGCAACTATGTTATCACACTCTGGCTAAGAAAACACGTTAGTCTACCCATGTTCTTTTCCCAAGACATCTTAGAGAACTGATGGTGAAGTGATTCTGGGGGAGCAGTTTTGTTTTAAAATCTGCTGAATACCACTGTTGAATAGCACCATCTGGAAGAAATAGACTGGGAGGCAAATAAAATTTTCTATTAGATACACTAAGAAAATGAAAAGAAACAAATAAAATTAATTTTAGTAGTATGACCTATGGATAATATATGTTCAAATTACAGTTGGAATATGTATTCAGTACAAGAAATGATCAGTGGGCTATTTTACCCTTTTTTTTGGTACCAAGTCTTAGAAATGCAATGTGAATGCTATACTACTCACAACACATGGCAATTTGGACGAGCCACGTTTCAAAAGCTCAGTGGACACGTGTGATCAGTGACCACTATAGTGGACAGCACAGGGTCAGAGGGACAAAGGAACCAGATCCAGGTGAGCCACTGTGCGCGATATTTCTCTCATCAGCAAGTTCCTGACGTGAATGAACAGTCTTTGTTCCAGATTAAAAGATACTGAGAGAACAAAGCAACCATTTGCAGCGCAGTTTTGCCATTGGAAAGTTCACGTTGTCACCTGTGCTTTTTGGCTGACTGGCTCTAAACCGGAGGTTCCCACCACCCTTTTCTTGGGATTTATTAATTTGTGAGAGCAGAGCACAGAATTCATAGAAACATTACCTTCCATTTACTGGTTTATCATACAGGGTTTGAAGGAGTTCAGAACCAGCCTCCCCGTACTGCTGTGGCATGTGGATTACTCTGAAGGCAATCAAGACCCTGAGGACTCAAGACAAACTTTAATCTCTCCCTTATAGAATTTAAATTGAGGGCCTTGCCCATAATAAGAGCTATCACCAGTAATATATGTTTATGACCCATCTGTTGGGCAGGGCAAATATCTAATCACTGAACATCTGCTCTTCGTACCATCCCGTGAATGATCCTCCTCCTCTCGGAAGCCCTGTCCCATCCCATTCCTTGGCTCAGTAAGGCAAGCCTTGTGGCTCTGAGCCCTTCACCTCTGCAATCCGGTGCTCTCTCCAGAGAGTGTCAGAGCTGTTAATTGTCTGGTGGTGTGGGCTCTTTAAATTTCTAACAGCCTGCCTTTTCCACGTCATTGATTTGTTTAAGAGGTTGGACCTGCTTTATTTAAATTTAAATGTCTGTCATGGTTATCCAACCTTATTTAAATGTTTAAGAATAGTTATTTAAGTTTATTTCATGAAGAACATGTTCCTACGCAGCCAAAGTTACCTTGCTACACTTATGCCTCCTGTTCCCTTTGTTTCTAAGCTCTCATGTCTATGTGGGTTCCTATATGCACAAAATTAAACATTTGTTTTTCCCCTATGAATCTTTCAAATATTGATTCGATTATTAGACAAAAACAACAACAACAACAACAACAACAACAAAAAAAAAAAAAACCCACCTTTCTATGGTGGAGGAAAAATTGTTTCTCCCCAACAAGGGAACATAAGGACACAGACAAACAGCCGGACAAGGTAGGACGTAAGCCACTGTGTGTGGGAAGTGGGACAGAGTTTCCATGACCTCGCCAGGGCGCCACTCCTCATCGCCACACGCTCACCAACCTGAAGATCTCCAAACCCCGTCCTTTGGGTTCCTAGGGAGCTTCATTACATAAGCATGAGTGATCTCCGATGGCCACTGATTTAACCTCACCCAGGCCAGGTGTGGGATTGAAAATTTTTAACCCTCTGATCACTTGGTGGGTTCTTCTGGCAACTAGTCCCAAAATTGGTTTACCGAGGGACTTTGCAAACGTCACCTCTCTAACCTACAAGGCACATTTATCACTCTGTTCTTATCCCATAAGAAACTCCTGGGGTTTTTCCGGGCTCTGTATTTCTTGTTATAAATCACAATACCAAAGCAATCATTAACAATATGTGGCACTCAGCTGGATTGAATTAAATTATGTTAAGAAATTACTTTTAATTTTATGAAATATGTTATTTTGCTTTTGTAGTGATTTTTTAAAAATGCAATCTAATTTGTTGTTGTTAATCCTTATCCAAAGGTATTTGTTTCCCATTTTTTAGAGAGAGTGGGAGGGAGGGGGAGAGACCGATAGAGAAACATCGATGTGAGAGACACATCAATTGTTTGCCTCCCACGTGAGCCCCAACTGGCCCAGGAATTGGGCCTGCAATAGAGGAAATCAAAATAGGGTAGGGCTGCAATCTAATTTAAAAAAAAAAATCCATGAAAAGTTAAAAGAAAAGGATGGGTTCCTAGGGTTCCAGAAAAATTCCCTTCAGTGGCCCAAAAGAAGGCTGGATTCACAAGACCCCTCCGAGTGATTGTTTAACAAAACCAAAATATCAGCTAACAGTTCAGCAACCCAATACCTGGGTTTGGCAGAGCCCTAAGAAACCTCTCAATATCTGGATTCGATTTTAGGTTCACCCGAAGAGTCTTGTTCACTAAACTCATACAACTGACAACACAAACAAATGGTTCCAATTCTTAAAAAAAAAAAAAAAAAAAAAAAAAACTCAGCTCATCCCAGGACCCCTACATGTGAACCAAAGCAGAAACAGGAAACAGATGGGGCCGGCCAAGCCTTTCAGAGCTGCAACCAAAGCCAGGACTGAGGTGCTGGCCTCTGAGAACTCCCTGAGGGCGAGGGCAAGGACTGCACAGGCGGTCACACTCGGAGAACTGCAATGTAACAAACCTGTTATTTCCAACGTCAGAGCAACAGTTGTCCGATATAATTACATCCCTGCAGACCGCCTTTAAAACGTGCTAAAACATGCTTATACTACTGGCTCTGAGGATGTGTTTTAATTGGGATTTTGCAGCTTGGTTTACACTTGGAAGAGAAGATCTAACCATGTTATAGCACTTAAATATTGAAAAAATTATATCCTCGGTGTCTATGATACATTGTTGTTGTGGGTTTTTTTTTTGTTTTGTGTTTTTTTTGGGGGGGGGAGGAGAGGGGGTAGAGACAGAAACATCAAGACAGTGAATCTGGGATCAATAGATGGGACAAAGCTGCCTTTTTTTCTTTTCTTTTCTTCTTCTTCTTCTTCTTCTTTTTTTTTTTTTTTTTTTTTTTTTTTTTTTTTTTTTTTTCTTTTAATGAAAGGACAAACTTAACAAAGCATAGATTTTGCCTGAAGACAGAGTTGAGAAATAAGATGTATTACCCAGATAGTCTATCAAATTAAAGGCATACATGCAACTGGAAAGGATTTGTGAGAGAAAATATAAAACCATTCATAGTGTTGTTCTGCTGGTAATGGGAACTAATAGATTCACTGCTTGGTGTCAACACAAAGGAGAAACTGTAAATTTGAGTGAATAAAAACAGAAACAGCTTTATTGAAACATTACCTAGGTAGAGAAAAGTGCAGCAGTAGCTCTCCAGACCTAATATAGTCCTGAGAAACAAATAATTTATGAAGCGCCTATGACAATTATACTTCTACTACTGAAGGGCTTCAGTTAAAAATTGGACATTCTTGTTTCTGGCCATCGAATGCAGCTGAAGTTTGTTTCTCAGCAAAAATAAAGTGATCAAAATCAAGGTGGCGATGTTGGGGCTTTTTATTAAAATAGGGGCAGAATTAAGGCGGGGGTGGGGGAAGGGGAATTCCAGAAAGGCAAAAATGTTCATTTTCTTTCTTTCTTTATATTAATCATTTTTTCAAATGTAATATTTTGGAATGTACCACCTTGAGTAGCATTGTGGTCAGTTCATTTTTGGGGGGCACTTGAAATACAAAAATAGTTAGGACCTCTATGTTATCTGCTCAGCAGAAAGTTGACTAGAGAGCCACCCAGCATGGCTTTGATGGGGAAAAGGAGACAAGGGGGCGGGGGGGGGGGGGGGGGGGGAAGCTAGCGATATGAATCTGTGCTATTAACCCAATGCACATTCTTGTTAGCCTATAGTATAGTCACTGCCCTTGTAATTATGTGGTCCTGTAAGGCCTGTTTTCCTAAGTATTACCCCCATTTTAGAGAGGCCATGAACAATACGCAACCATGAACGATACACAATCCCAGACGGAGTTATCAGTGCTGGCACCAGGCCAGGCCTTGAGATGTGGTCTCACTGCCTCCATCCCAGCACATGGGGCTTTTTGCAAAACCCGCAAAAGATCCGGAAGTCCCATCCCGTATTTGGGGGACAAAGAAACCAATAGGGTATAAAGGGAAGCTTCCTCCATATCGGCTTGCTCAGGATTTGGAGAAAAACCACCTCTGAGTTCTGTACTAGGACATGAGAAACACCTGAAAAATAAATGGGTTTGTCCTGTGCCTCCAGTACTCCTGCGTATTTTTCAGTCGCCTGGTAAATTCTGTAACAGCTTAGTGACTGAGTGTCCACCTCTGAACCAGGAGGTCATGGTTTGATTCCTTTTTGCTGGCTTGATCCCCAGAGTGGGATATGCAGGAGGCAGCTGATGAATGATTCTCTCTCTCCTCCCCTCCTTTCTCGGAAATCAATTAAAAAACACACATCGTTTTTTTTTTAAAAGCTGACTAGAGAATGAAACTAGTTATTCTGAAATGAAAAATCTTTGGTACTGGCATGTCGATGGAATTTTGTATGGGTGCACAATGAAAGCACAATTCAAAGTCAGATTTGACAACGCAATGGCCATTTTTTTTTTTTAAAGCCGTTA